AAATTGTCTGCCGTCGTGTTTCTTCCCTTCGAACCTAGGGCTCTGATGCCAATTGCTAGGAATTAATTAACTCAACACGAAAAACAATATAAAGAACACACGAAATTTGGTAAGCCAGTTCGGCACGAATGACTACATCTGGGGCACTTCCAAGCCAGGAATGTTATTAATATTTTCGGATCAAGGGATTACAAGGGAGAGAGCTTGTATTTATAGAGAGTAAAACTTAACCCCTAAAATAACTAGGACGCGCGCGGCCCCACATCTGTACGGCCCAAAACTGTACGGAATTGTACGAAAAACTTGCGGCTCCTCAGCAACGGACCAAAATTTTTGCCCCCGAACCCAATGCAGATGATTCTGCCGCTGCATTGGCGGATGTCTTCTCCTTCTGATCCTTGATCTGCTCCTTGCACTGGCTCTTGAAGTGTTCATACTCCTCACAATTCCAGCAGTTGATCTGACTTCTGTCCTTCTTGCCATTGTTGTTTGATTTGGATTTAGATCTGGATCTATCTCAATTCGATTTGGACTTCGACTTCGATCTGCCACGGTTCTCTGTACTCAATGCCGATCCAGAATTCAAGCCTGATTCCTTCCTGCGAATTTCTTCGATCACCACCAGATTTCTGACTTCATCGAACTTCAACTTCTCCTTTCCTGCTGAAGCGCTGACTACGGTCACCGTTCTGTCCCAGCTTTCAGGTAGAGAAGACAACAAAATTAAGGCTTGATTTTTGTCATCAAATTTGATCTCAACCGCGCTCAATTGTGTGGTGATTAAATTGAACTCGTTGAGATGCTCCACAACTGCCGTGCTTTCTGACATCTTTAGGTTAAAAAGACGCCTCATCAGATGAACCTTGTTTGCAGCGGATGGTTTTTCGTACATACTCGATAAAATCTGCAACATCTCCTTCGTTGTTTTTGCTTTGACGGTGTGTAAGGCGATGTTTCTGGACAACGACAATCGAACCACACTCATCCCCTTCCTGTCTAGCAACTTTCAACCGCTCTCCTTCATCTCTTCCGGCTTGTTATCCAGAGGTTGGTATAGATCTTTACCGTACGGGTAATCTTCGATCTGCAACTTCCATAAACCGAAATCCGTTCCATCAAACTGCATTAACGGGGTCTTCAAATTGTCTGCCATCGTGTTTCTTCCCTTCGAACCTAGGGCTCTGATGCCAATTGCTAGGAATTAATTAACTCAACACGAAAAACAATATAAAGAACACACGAAAATTGGTAACCCAGTTCGGCACGAATGACTACATCTGGGGGCACTTCCAAGCCAGGAATGTTATTAATATTTTCGGATCAAGGGATTATAAGGGAGAGAGCTTGTATTTATAGAGAGTAAAACTTAACCCCTAAAATAACTAGGACGCGCGCGGGCCCACATCTGTACGACCCAAAACTGTACGGAATTGTACGAAAAACTTGCGGCTCCTCAGCAACGGACCAAAATTTTTGCCCCCGGACCCCCTAAGGGGGTTGGAGGCGGAGCTACCCCCCCCCCCCCCCCCCGTCCAACTCCTCGTCGAGTTGGATTGACGGATAGGGCTTGGTTATACAGTCTCTAACACCTTACAAGGGAGACCAAAACCTTCAGAAGGAAATACTCTCGGATAGACCTGAATGATACCCATTGCGGCGCTAGGTTTTGAGTAGCAGCGGCACAAGGACTTCAGGCTATGAATTTGTTATTTATGTTAAGCAAAATGTACAAATATACCCTTGTAGTATAGGTGTGAGAACAAATATACTCTTGTTGTATCTCTTAGAACAAATACACCCCTAAAATATATGATGAAGTGCATATATACCCCTGAACTTTTAAAAAGTGCAAAAATACCTCTCATGTTCTTATAAAGGATCAGATTTACCCTTATTGACTTTAAATAGATAAAATAAATTTCAAAAAACACCAAAAATAAAATTATTATAAATTTTAAAAATAAATATTTATTATTATATTAAAATATTAACTTTTTAATATTGAGTTGCAAAATTATTATTATTCCGTGGTAAATGAACCATTTCAAATTCATAAATTTTAATTTTAGTCTTATTGTGAAATTTTGAACACATTTTTATATTTTCTTGAAATACATTCTTTGATTTTGTTTAACCTTAATAAAACTAAATTCACTATTTTGTAATATTGGACTATTTATCTTCATACAAAATATGTAATTTTATAGTGCAAAGAATGCAAATAATTAATATTTTTTACATTACAACACATATGTTAGCACTTTTTCCAAAAAAATCCTAAATACGTACTACGTAGTATATAGTACTCCCTCCGTTCTCTAATATTTGTCTCTCTTTCCATTTTGGGTTGTTTTCTAATATTTGTTCCTCTTTCTATTTTTGAAAAGTTTTTCAATAAATATACCCATTTACCCTCATTCTCTTTCATACTTTTTCATTCTATTTCCTACTTTTTCATTTAAACACAACTCACTACACATTTTACACTACCCCTATATTTTCCTCTTAAAGATATCACAGGCTGTACGGTGCCCACCGTATAGTCGACTGTATAGTATAAGCATCCCATGTCAACTTAGTCAATGCCAGAAAACCCGATCAGAAAACAAAACTACTAGTCTAAAACATACAATTTTCAACAAAAATTTGGGAAGAATTTGCAAGAGCATAAAATTAGTTCGACGAAGTTGGGATCATTTCATACTAACAAAAACATTTGTGATTAAATATATAAATATTATGTTATGTATTTGAATTGTGTTTATAGAATATAATTACAAATGATCTAAGCAATTGAGGAATGCTAACGCTATTATTGATCAAACTTTTGTAAACATCCAATAACCAAAAACGTTATTGATAGTATAGTTTTAAAAATAAAAATTTCACATTATCAAACACCCAATATTATTATGTAAGGAGTATTACATTTTCTTGATATCGGTAGAAAAAGTGACTCTTTAAAGGTGTATACTTATCATTCATGACATCATTTCATCATACCATTTTCCACCGAGACTGGAAAATAAACAAAATAATTATATGTCTAGAAAGTTGTAAGACCTCATCTTTAGTCAATCATCTAATGTACTATTGAATCTATTTGATGACAATCAATCATATATGAAATTGATTCCACATGGCCGATTAGTTTGATAAGGGGAAGAGAAAAAATTACACAATGAATCAATATCGTACTCAAACCGTTCATCGTTGCTTTCAAGTTCTGAAGAATTACTATAGGGATATAGAAATTAAATCAATGAACGAATCTTATAAAATTGTTATAATTCATCTAACAAAAATTGGCAATCATAAAGAAAAATATTCAACTTATGTTGAAGAAAAAGACATGATACTCTGAAGTGTCTCCTTACCGACACATGGGGGCATAGCTAAGGGGGCCCAGTCCTGGCCCAACCCAAATTTCAAAAATGTCCGGTCCAGTGCCGTGGCTATGCCCCTACCGGCACACTCCATAAATAAAAGAATTTTCTTACGGAGTATAATATTAAAGGAATAAACCTCGTGAACAAAAATATGAATAAATTCATTATGACTATGACTTCATTTAGCACAAAGTTAAACATGATTATAGTGACTATGATTTACTAGTAAAGCAAATGCGTCATTATTTTAGTTTCTATTTTAGTCATATAATAAAATACTAGTATGTCATTATTTTCATAAAAACAGTTGCATATATTATTATACAATGAAATTTAAATGGTGAAAAAATTGAACTCAAATTTCAAGTATTTAGATACGTTATAATTTTATTGAAGTACCAAAATGCCCTTACAAAAACTATACAGACTATATTAAAATGCCCTTGGCCGACCTTTGCTGCAACTTAGAGTCCGTTTGGTGATTATATTTTTTGGTTTACCAGACTTATCAACAGTGGCGGAGCCAAAAATATATTGTTAAAGGGGCTAGTCCTTAAAAATTTTACATTGCATGGGCCAAAGTTTAAAATATCGACATATTTTCTATAGATTAAAAGTATTTATACATAATATATACGTAATACTTAAGAATTTTTTCTCTTGCAGGGGCCGAGACCCCCTCTAGCCCCTCCCTGTCTCCACCCCTGCTTATCAATATACTTTTTCATCGAACGCGTAACTTTTAATTTCACGTGTTGAATTATGTAATAATACGAAAAAGTAAGACCGGAGTTACTTTTCTGGCTTTATTGGCTGAAGTTATTGTAGAGAATCATTTCAGGTATTTTTCATATGATTTTTTCTTTATTTTATTAATAAATCTATTTTAAATACCGATATTATACTTTTTCATAAATCAGCAGAATCAGCCAATCCAGTCATTCTATGCAAAACTTCATAAATTTCAGCAGAATCAGCCAATACAACCAATTTAAGAATTACCAAACAAACTCAAAAACAGTCTATTCATAATTCCTAATATCTATATCTTATCTTATCTTAAAATCTTATAATATTAAAAAAAATTAGGGCATTTTAGGGTGGGAAAAATGTTGGTGTAATCGTTTGCTTTAGGAAAAATTGATAGCAATAATCCCAACTATTGGCGGTCCGCTCATAATAATCCCAACTATCGATTATTTCAGAATAATCCCAACTTTAGGGACCTTCCGCCAATAATGGTTCCTATAAATAAATTCATGTAGTTTCTAAAGTGGATGAGAAGAGATATAACAAGTAATCCATATAAATAATCTCAACTTTTAATTTTTACGTTGAATTTCTATTTAAATTTCACTTTTTATAGGAGGTCATATGTGGTCATGGACCATTATTGGCGGACGGTCTAAATAGTTGGGATTATAAAAAAATAATCAATAGTTGGGATTATTGTCAGCGGACCGGCAATAGTTGGGATTATTATTTTCTATTTTTCCTTTGCTTTATCAAATGGTACATTATCCTTTGTCGTATGTACTCTTTTAAAAGAATTTACTCTTCCGCTTAACTTCCGTTATAACTCCCACTCCGGCTTGCCGCTTCTCCAATGTGAGCTTTTGACCTCCTCTTCTTTTCAACTCTCAGATGCTCGGCGGCTGGCAAGTTCTAACCCCGTATCGTCTCATCCGCGCCTTAACCGCACCGGGGTATCTCTCATCGTTTCCGTCTTGTCGCGCCAACTGTCCAAGTATCTTTCCCTTCCGTTTCTTCCCTCAGCTTTGCTCATCTCCTTCCGTCTCGCTGCTTTTCTTCCCCTATTTGTCCTGCTTTTGAATTCCTTTTATTTACTCACACTATGATTCAGCTGTTTACGGGATGTAGTTTCAAAAACTTATTCTTTTTCACTATTTCAGTGTGATTTTTCTTTTCATGTGTTTATTTGCATAAAAAAGGAGGCAACTTCCTTGCCTCTGTTTTTCTTTGATTTTTTATTTGTTTGGAAATAACCATCTTAATTAGCATTAATCAAGTCAAATGGCAAAGCATCCATAATACAACTCGGGGGTGAGTTCACCCAAATCTGACTACCAGGCTTAGAACAGAAAAAGGCTAACACAATCAATAATGAACATGATGACCTTATTAGTTTTTTATACAATCAAATGAGATAATAGTGAGCATTGATAGAAAAAGAGACAAAAAAACAATGATGTATGTCTTTATATTGTATACATAAAGAAGCATTACTTAATCCCTCAAACCTGAAATTTAAAGGGGATAGAGTTGGAGTCACAGTTTGTTTGCCCTAAACTATAGTGGTTTCTAGGACAGTAAAATTAATTCATCTAACTATAGTCCAACTATTTTTGAACCAAAAGTTTGTGCTCATATCAAGTTAATGAAAATTGATAAGCTTAAATTGATAATCTACTATTCACACTAGAATTATGGAATGTAACTCTCTCAAAAAAATAATAATCTGGAATGTAAGTAACTGAAGCATCATAACTGGTATATGTCACAATCTCCTTTAATCCGTAGCATCTACGCATTTTCTAATTTTAGAGTAGAAACCATACTATCGACTTAAAGTGAGACTGTTATCAACAAATCCCAATTACTCCATTTGGAGTGACAAAAACTAGTGTTTTTTTTCGTTCTTTGAGCATTTTGTTGAATGAAAGTCAGAACTTTAAGTTTCAAATTCAAGAGCTGGGGTAGAATATAATCTTTGTGTGCAATATATATGCAAAAGGTCATACCAGGTGAGGGGTCTAACTAAACATTAATTATGAAAATGAGAAAATTTAACTTGTCAGCCTTTTTGCATTTTAAAACAAAGTCTGCCCAAATGTATCCACCAACAGTATAGCATCATTAATCATATGACTTCTATGTTATCTTAATTTGGAATACGTTGGTTATTCAATATGGACTCAGGGATAAGGGTTTAGCCTCTGTTTTTGTTTTAATGCATAAAAATAATTCCTTTTGGGATTAAAATGTAAACATCCATCATAGACCTGTATGGCCTTGATTGTTTTTGTTTTTGTTTTTGTAAAAAACATACTCTGTCATAGTTTTTGCACTGTATTGCATGGCATGCATATATAGCAATCAGGTACTTTTAATAGCTGAAGACTATTGATACAAAACTAATGTTAAACAACATTATAAATATTATACACGTCCAGTTCAAAGTGATTTCATATCTTATATATACATGTTTAATAGTGCAGCCTAATGAGCTCATTTAAATACAAGCATTGATTGTTAGTGCCAAACTCATGTATCACTTAGATAGGTTTAGTTCAAGAATTGTAAAACTTTACTACCTCATCAGTCATCACTAAAGGCTAACAAAATCAATAATGAACATGATAACCTTATTAGTTTGTTTTATAGTCAAATGAGATACTAGTGAGCATTGATAGAAAAAGAGATAAAAAGAGACAATGATGTATGTCTTTATATTGTATACATAAAGAAGCATTACTTACTCCCTCAAATATGTTTTTTAAAGAGGATAGAGTTAGAGTCACAGTTTTTTCCCCTAAACTATAGTGATTTCTAGGACAGCACAACTAATTTATCTCTAACCATAGTCCAAGTTCTTTCCCTCTTTTTTTTCCAGTTTAAAGTGTACTAACCCTGCATTTGTTTTCAAGTGAAAAACGTTAACAAAATCAATAATGAACAAGATCACTTTATTAGTTTGTTATACGGTCAAAGGAGATAATAGTGAGCATTGATAGAAAAAGAGACAAAAAGGGACAATGATGTATGTCTTTATATTGTATACATAAAAAGCATTACTTACTCCCTCAAATCTTAAATTTAAAGGGGATAGAGTTGGAGTATTGGTAGAGTATAACTCAATTATACTCAGCTGGTGCATTATAGACGTATGGTGTTGGACAATAGCTCAATATGGTACCTGCTTAGAGTCAACATTTTAGGGTTTTTTATGTGGTTGAATTAACTTTTCCAGTTTCTTGAAATATAAACTAAAGTCTTCGAGTACTGATATACTTGTGATATATGATTAATATTCTTAAACAGTCTCTCTCTGCTTTAGTACAGGGGTAAGACTGCATACATCCGACCCCCCCTTACCCCACCGTAGGTGGGAGCCTTTGCAACACTGGGGTAATGATGATGATGATGATGATATGATTAATATTCTTGGAAACAACTCTTGACTAAATACTGAAGCAAATTATAAAATAATTGATATATGCTTCTGCAATCAGCACGGGTGCTTACTTTTTTACAGCCGTCTACTTTCATCTTTATTACTATCTCTCCAGTCAGTTTTATTATATATAGATCAATAAATGTATAGATTGAGTAGAATAGAAAACATAATGTCATTGCTTTTTGTTTAATCAAGATTTTCTCTTTTCATTTGTTCTTACATTCTGCAACTATTCTACTTTTTTTAAAGGATTCCTTCTGACTTTTGCTCTTTCTTTGTTGTTCCCTTCCTAAAGTGTAGGTGAAAAAAATCTTTGTATTGTGTAGTTGTTACACTTCTTGGCTGATATAAACATATCTGGTGCACTAAGGCATCTATTTCAGAAGGATGGTACCCATTAGGAAACTGAGCCACCTGAAGGAGAAATTTACCTTATGTTCTTTAAAATTGAATCTTGCTAATTGCAGTGGTAAAAGCCTATACAAATCCCTCCCCGTTGATGCTGATGGGAAATTAAAGTTTGTTAGTCAGTTAGCTGGTATGTCATTGATCGACATAAATGGACAATGTAATTTGGTTAGATTTCATCATTTGTTATCTCAATCATTTTCGACTTTGGGTGGGACAGTCCTTGTCCAGGCTCAGGACCTCGGTAAAATGAGCGAGGAGATTGAACACGCAATTAATGAGTGTAACCTATTTTATGCTTGGGAACTTCTAGAAAGACATATCCGAATGGATGGGCTCCCCAGAATGTCAATTCTGAACAGACTTGTAACATCATGTGCAGAATGTCTAGAAGTTCAATGGCTTGAAAAGGCTTATACTTTAGTTGAACAGATCTTTGAGGATGGCAAGATTAATTTAATGGAGAAAGAGAGCTTGTTTTATCTCTCATTTGCATTTTCAAAATGCCGATTGCCTGTTCCAGCATCTACCCTTCTTAGGAAGCTTGTTGAGATAGAAAGGTTCCCCCCTGTGGGTCACTGGTGTGCAATCATAGGTCACATGTCACAAACAGCCTCTGGAGCTTATCTTGCTGCTGAGCTGGTTCTAGAAATAGGTTATCTGTTTCAAGATGGGAGAGTCGACCCGCGTAAAAAGACCAATTCACCTCTGATTGCCATGAAACCTAATATCACTTCGTTCAACATATCTTTAGCTGGATGTGTTCTGTTTGGCACAACCCGAAAAGCGGAGCAGCTTCTTGACATGTTGCCTCGTATCAACATAAAGGCTGACACAACCTTATTGATCATCATGGCTCATATTTACGAGAAGAATGGACGGTTGGATGAACTGAAGAAGCTGAGGAGACATGTTGACGAGGCCCATGACCTCACCGATACTCAATTTCGACAGTTTTACAATTGTCTGCTTGCATGCCATTTGAGTTCTGGAGATCTTGAATCTGCCTCCCACATGGTCCTGGAAATGCTTCGAAAGGCAAAGAAAGCTCAAAATTCTCTTGGGGTGGCTAATTTACTGTTTGAGAGCTCTAAGTGGTTCAATTGTTCATCAAACCCTGCACTTGATGTATATGGCGGAGGGGATTTAAATAGGGGAAATCAAGAAAAATTGCAACAGAAGATCTTATCTTTTCAAGATTTCTGTAGGGACAGGAAGTTTTTAAAACTTCAGGCTGAGGCAGAAGAGCTGCTTGAAGACTTGGTTGTTAAGCTACAAAACCAAATCAAATTTATAACAAGTGAGAATGGAATTCTCAAACCATCAGAATCAGTATATGTGAAATTAGTTAAGGCCTTCTTAGAAGCCGGGAGGACACAGGATCTGGTGGCCTTCCTTATCAAAGCCGAGAAAGAAGATTCCCCAGTTTCAGTTGATGATTCAGTCTTGGTTCAATCAATCCACACGTGTATTTCACTTGGGTGGCTAGAACTGGCTCATGATCTTCTTGATGAAATGCGTTTGGCTGGTGTTAAAACGGGTTCTTCTGTTTATTCTTCGCTAATGAAAGCATACTGCCAAGAGAAAAGAACAGGAGAAGTAATGTCTCTCCTTCGAGATGCTCGTAGGGCCGGTGTCCAATTAGACACAAGCTGCTATGATGTAATGATTCAATCACAGGTTCTCCATAGAGACACCGAATCAGCTCTTCATTTGTTCAAGGAGATGAAAGAGGCTAAAATTCCAAGGTTAGGGCAACATAAAAGGTTCGAGTGTATAGATGGTAAAGAAGAAGCCAATTTAATGTCAAGACTCTTGCAGGAAATAAAAGAAGGACAGAAAGTAGATTATGGAGTTCATGACTGGAACAATGTGATACATTTTTTCTGCAAAAAGAGACTGATGAAAGATGCTGATAAGGCTTTTAAGAAAATGAGGAGTTTGGGCCACTTGCCAAACGCACAAACATTCCATTCTCTGGTAACTGGTTATGCATCTGTGGGTGGAGAATATACAGAGGTTGCAGATTTATGGGGTCAAATGAAATCCATTGCGAACTGTGGTGGCATGAGGTTTGATGAGGAGCTATTGGATGGGGTGCTTTATACATTTGTGAGAGGTGGCTTCTTTACTAGAGCAAATGAGGTTGTGGAGATGATGGAGGAACGGAAAATGTTTGTTGATAAGTACAAGTATCGTGCACTCTTCTTGAAATATCATAAAACACTCTACAAAGGAAAGGCTCCCAAGTTTCAAACAGAAGCCCATCTTAAAAAGAGAGAAGCTGCTTTGACTTTTAAGAGATGGGTGGGCTTACATTGAAGAATGTTTTTGAATGCTATCATGAGTGAGATTTACTTTATCTGTGGATATCGTGGCCTTGTGGGGCATTCTTAGGTACAATTTTTCTTTCTCAAAGCTTAACTTACCAAGAACTTCATATATTTTTGGTTAACTTTTTTAAGAATTGCTTGTTACATAATGTCAAGAACTGAAATTTATGTAAATTTCTGATGTGGATCAGCACCTCTATTAGTGTTTAATAACCTGATTCGGGTTATAACAATTTTTTGTCAAACAGGATATAGTAAGTTGAATAATCAGAATTTTCTTTTGACCAACTTGTTTTGCTGAATGGGTGTTATTAAATGTTTTTTCTGTCGTTTCTCTCAAATAACCCTTGTGGATACCATCACGTGTGCATTGCTTGTCCTTTAATATTTGTGCATCCAAGTATAAGCTATGTTAGAGAAGAATGAGAGATCTAAGTATGGTTTATTGCAGATAAAGTGACCCTGATCAAACGGTCCTAAACCTCTTGATTGAAGCTCGGATTGACCCCCTTTTGTGAAGCTTAGTGTCCATGGCGCTTTCCAAGGGTTCATTTGTGGAGACAAATCAAAGAAATCAAATATGCATGGTATGAGATTCGATATGTGCATATAGATGCTGTCAGGATGTATTCTTCTGGCTTTCACTCTAATCCTCAGGAGGACTGGAAGTACAAAGGGAAAAAAATGGTGAGAAAATACAGATTTGAGCGTAGCTATATAACATAATCCCTAAATCAAATGAAAACCGCCTTTGCAAGTAAGGTTTTCTTTCTTTGCACGTGAACTTCACAGTTTTCTTGAATTGCTTAGGCTCATCCTTTCAAAACACTTCATCCAAACACACCCTTAATAAATCAATAATTCTAAAGGAAACCCATTTTGGCACACTTTAATGTTTCCAGATTATCAGTTGTAGAGATAAAGGCATTTGGGTGGCATGTGAGTTTGATGGGACCCATGTGGCTTTATTTCTACATTTGGTTGCTTGGGACATTAATATAATAGCCATAGATATATGAGCTCCATTTTATTTGCTTCACTACTATCTCCAGGTCCATTTCTCAAGCTTATTATTATTAGAGTTCAGTGAAATGAGGGACGAGCCGGCAAGGGATGCATCTTGCCAGTCATCTGCCTCTTCAAGTGATGAGAGAACCTCAGCCACACTGTTATGTGATTTTGGGGTTCAAATCTCCAAAATTTAAAATCGTACAGGAATTGGTGTTGGGCAGAACCGTCTGAAAATTAGAGCAACAAAAAGATGCGGAGTAAAGGATAAGTTTCTAAGGGTTACTGTACTTTAAAATGCTGGCAATGGAACCTCAACCAGGTCACAAAGTGTTTTGCCCACAGAATACGTCTCAGCTTGCATGAGGGTTGTTTTTGCAATGGCAATAAGCTGGGATTTTTGACTCATTGTCTCAGCCTCTTAGCGAAACTTTGGCTGCGTTTGTATCAGCGGATCCGCCAAAAATTGGAGGGTTTGACCGTGTTGGCGTTTTGGACCGGCAAAACTGCTGGAAATTTGCGTTTGATAAACAGCAGCTCAGGATTAGCGATTCGTATGAATCCGCCGAAAACCAAAACGCTGGGAATTGGAGCGTTTAGGTTTTGGCGGATTGAAATCATTATTGAATTCACCCGATTGCCCTCAATTCATCTTCCTATTTTCCTATCGTTTCAGCCGCTTGAGGTATCGCGTTCAGTGCTTCCTCTCTTCAGCTAGACGGGCTCTGCTTTTTCTCTTCAGCAATAGATTTCCCTCTTCAAGGTATGTGTTAATCCCTCTCCTCTGGAGTAGTCCATTTAATTTGTATGGAGAAGCTTCTAAATATTACCACTCGATTGATCTTACTGCTACATCTTTTGTGAAGTCTTCTTTTTTTGATTCCTTTTTATCACGTGTGGTGTGTCCAATATATGACCTTTATACTCTGCACTGGATTGTTCTTATTGTTGCCGCATGTTTTTTGGAATTTTTAAAAACATACCAAAAAAATGTCATAACTATGTAATACTTTGCACTTCATATGAAAATACATGCCTTCCATGGCAAATTCAATAAGAAATAACATACGTTCATATGATTTGTATGAATATTTCTATTTGTAATATCATATAGCTTTGTAATACTTTGCACTTCATATAAAAATACATGGGTTCCTTGCCCATACAGCCACATATCAGGATTCAGGACTGATTTGGATTGATTTGGCGTGAATAAGGCAACTGAACTTGATATTAGTAGAAGTCATACGAGATATCTGCTATGTATGGCTACAGATTAATTTATATAGTGCATGGGTTTCACATATGCATGTGTGTGTGGGTCCTATTACAAAATAATGAAAGATATATAAAATGCTGAACAAAAACAGATGTCTCTTAGAAAGAGCAAAGGTTTTCTATTATTGGTGTATTACTAAAAAAAATGGTATATATTATTTGTATACTACGAGTATATTAGTAAAAGTAAAAGGTCATCTGTTAATGGTATTAGCATTTTTTCATATTCCGCAAGTCATCATCCATTATCACAAGTTCACAACCTTTACTGCATTCCATTGTTTTCTAGATGAAGGCTTATGGAAGTGGTTTCTGATTATTGTTAATTTCACAAAATAAATCTTTAGCAGAGAAATCCTTTTTAGTTAATCACATACTACGTACTAGCTATGTAATCAAACTATTTGAGCAATAATTTGATATGTATGTTTTAGCCTCAGGGGTTCTTTCTTCTTTTGGAGAACTCATTTTGCTCTATGTTATTTGAAAGTGATTATCTATATATGGAGTATATGCGTGGTATTGTATATCTGTGTATGAAAAACTACTAATTTTTGTTTGTTATGATGCTATCTATTGTACAGTTTTAAGTGAAGTAAAGAACCCGTGTCAAATGTATCATGTTATGATTTCCTACACCCTATGCGCAAATTGTCTAGTACTATCGTATATGCAAATTGTCTAGTATAACTTTCCCATTTCGTAGTAATTATGTAGAAGATTGGGATTAACATAAAACCTTAAGCATACTAAAAATATCTTTTCACTTTTCAAGAAATGTTTAGTGGTATGATGCAACAATTTGAAGCCAGAAATAAGGTTGTTGAGGAAGTTGCTACTTCAGTGAAGAACATGACTCACGCGAATATGAGTGTTCTAAATTCAATGGATGCTCATACGTCAAAGTATAGTGTTGAAGATGCTATGGCAAAGTTGTGTTGTTTACCTGATCTCAATCCACTTGCTCCCGAGTTTTTATTTGCTTGCTCACTTTTGGAGGATCCCCAAAAGAGGACTATTTTTTTCAACTTACCGCATAATGATGGTCGAGTTGCCTATATTCGGTTCATGTATATTGAGCACAAGAAAAGTACGACTAGTATCGCATAGGCATGGAGAAGTGTATCTTAACTTTTTCATTAGACGTGTTTAGACATTTAAAACTTCTTTTGAACTTCTTTTTGTTATGTGATCTAAACATATTTTCAGCATTTCTAAACATATTTTCACCATATATCATTTAAGGGAAAAGGGCCAAATAGGCCCTCCTACTATCCCGAAACTGTCAACTAAACCCATCTACTTTAAAAAGGGTCACCACAGCTCCCCTACTCATAAAAAACGACCATTTACATCCAGGTGACCGAAAAACAACCTGCAGCTACCGGTGAATGCTTATGTGGACAATTATTTAGCCAAATGTGGAGTCTTTTACACGTCATTTAAGGTTTCTTCATAATGTCTCTTTTTTTACAATTGTCCATCCTCTGTTGTGAAGTTCAGAGCTAGGGTTCTTAACCAATGACAAGTTCTTCGTTGCCCAGTGTAAAAGTTTGGCGCCTGAGATGTCTTCTGCGTCCTTCGTCTCAAAAGTTAGCAAGACGGGTCCAAATCTTCAATACGAACCTCGAGTATACTGTAATTGCGGTTTGAAAGCACCTTTGTGCGTGATGAGAAAAACTGGGCGTATTAAATTTTATTTTTTCATTTATCTAGGCTCCATCCAATTATCCTTTAATTAAACACAAGTATTGGTAGTATTTCAAAACTCAATTGGTGTTTAAATGACCTTCAAATGATAATTCAAAGTTTGAATTACTGTGTGCACTTTGAAAGAATTCATTCTAAATTAATGCAGGAAGGAGCAGGGTGTGGATACTTTGCTTGGAAAGAGGATATGGAAATTCAAAAACAGAGGAAATCCAATCCAGTGCATTGCTGTGAGGAGGTCGAGAAACTGATTTTGAAGTTAACATCTCAAGTAGATCATTTAAAAGTAGCAGTGGAATCTGGAATTGAGGAAAACAAGAAGATTAAGAGCATCCTAATAGCAGTTGAAGTGTGTTATTTAATATGTAATGACTATGAAAGACATGTAATGTACCATTATTGTTGACCTTTGAAGTTTATTATCAAGTTTATGTCTTTTAAATGTGATGTGCAATTGCGAATGTGATGTGATCTAAGTTGGTATATGTTTGATATGTGAGGCTGATCTTGCTCTAAAATGTGATGGGCACTGTGCTAGGATGTTTTTTTAACGTACTTTGCTTGGATGGTTAAAAAGGCTAAAATGAGAGATGGGGCTGATGTTGCTATAAATTCAAATAATATGAGTGTTGTGTGTATTAAGTGCAGAGATCAGCTACCCTTTGAAGAAGTTGCAGGCCAGTTTGGCATTTGTTGGCAGAAAGTGTGAAGGCCATAAACTAGAAGTAAAATGAAACAGTAGTAGGTTTCAGAAAAAAGATGCAGCTCTTTGAGGAGAAAATAAAGACATCATAATAATACCTTATTATGTCCCTTGATGACGGGTACTACACAATTTGGACTTCAATTATTAATGTCTAGACTTAATTTGGTTCTGGACTAGGAAATATTCCTTTATTCTAAACAAGAATTTTTTCCCCATTTAAAGTTAGACCAACTTGACTCAATTTGATATGCAGTTTGAACCTATTTGGTCATCATGTATGCAACTATACTTCTTAATTAATTAGAGCAAATTAAAGATGCAGTCAGTTTTTTTAAAGGACATAAATGACATAAAGGCTAACTCAGAGGACTGGAATTCAAAACGAACTATTTTCATTTATATCCTCTCGATAATTTCCTTACCATGAAGCAAAATTTATTCTCCTTAGTTGAGTTTTCCTTCATATTTAGGCTATTATTATCACACAGACTAGTGCTTATCAAACAGTAAACACTTTTAATATGAATAATTTTTAATATAATTTCCAGCAAGTTTTACTAGTCTTGATACTTTTACTAGGGCTGGTTGGGACCAAAAATATAAATAAACTTGAACAAACAACAACTTTGATCTCCCTGCCTTCCCTGGTTCCTTCACAGGTTGAACAACAAGTTTGCAAATGCACCATATAAAGTTAACATACGACAGTCAATACATGGCAAATACATATTACAAAAAGGCCATTATATGAACAATAGCTATGGCAATGTACTGCTATTTTATCATTGTACTGCTAGTCTAACATCCTGCTTGAACTCTAGTCGAACATCTTGCTTGAACTCTAAGAGACTCGTTTTTAATCCATTTTACATCCTTTTTATTCATCACTGCATACTTGATCAAGGCACTTTTAAATTGTTTCCCGTCATCAAATAACATTCCGACCTCCAGCTCCTGTGATTCACATTTAGGATCGGATGGCTTCTTCAATGTCTTCTTCCGTTTGGGATGTTCCTCAGAAACACAGTCCTCTTCTTCAGAGTCGGCTACAGAACAAGAGGGGTCATCAGAGTCATTATAAACACTGCAATCGTCATCGTCCCCACATTCATTGTCCAAATCTGCCCTATTTGAGTTGTTCTTTACCCAACCCAGATCTTCACTGTCACACTGCATCACTGGAGTTCTATCTCTGTCCATTTCTCCATTTTCCTCTTGAAGTACTGATGTTTCCTTTGATTCAACCTGCACATCTCTGTCCACTTCCCCAATTGAAGGCAAAGGTAAGAGTGGAATGAGATCCACAAAAACATCAACTCTGCCCCAATTCATGGCCAAGTCTATTAGCTCCAAGGTTGAAGCATCATTCCATAATGGTCTCAAGTTCTTGAAGTTGTCATCAGGCAATTGAAAGATAAAGATTCCACCTTTTTATAAGAATTCTCAGTGATAAACTTCATGAGATGAGGAAATGAAACCATATTCGGGTCCAACCTAATAGTACCCACTTCACCATTTACGTAAGAAAGTTCGGGGTTTTTTTTTTTGAAATTTCCGCCATGATGTATTCTCAGTTCTGCTACTTCAAACATTCTGAAAAAAGTAATACAATTGAAAATGGTAAGGCATTTTATTTAAACATAAAATAAATACAAACCAAGGAAAATATATTCATACTTTCCACTACATTTAAGGTATTATGAATTCAACTATCAAGGAGGTTTTACTCAGGATGTACAATTCACAGTTTTACTGAGCAGTTGTATTTTTAAATTATGGAATGATGTAGTCAGATGATATGGTCAATTCACATACATAAGGTGATAGTCTGGTTGGTCAGATGATATAGTCTTACCACCTCATCCGCCTCTTGAATATGATTCGGTTGTTTCTGGGAAATTAAATTGACCATATCATCTGAAAATAGACACCAGACAAAAGGTTGAATAATAATATAAAGTACCTTTTTTATTACATGAAAGGAGTCTTTCTTTAGCCCCTCTTATCAGGATTGAAGTTGGAACTCTAAAAAAATGATCTTGGAGACACCAATGACGACGCCAGGAATGAACATGGTCACTTACCTGAGTTCATGAAGATGGTCGCTCTGCTCTATTCTAGATGCGTATAGTCTCCTTCTTCACAGTCATGAATGGTTTCTTTGGACTTTCTGGCACTTGACCAGACATGGGAGATCGATTGGGAAGTAAGGTCAAGAGAACCCTAATTTTGGATTGCAAGCTGATGAACGAAAATAATTTCGCCTGTAACTTCGGTTAGATGCAACCGGGGCTGACGTGGAAAAAATTCCACATTTGGCAATTCCACCGGTCCACATCAGATTTAACTGAGAAGCTTGGGTTGCCTTTCAGTCACCTGGACCTATTAGATTCCTTACAAAAAGTAGATGGGTTTAGTTGATGATTTCAGGATAGTATGAGGGCGTATTTGGCACTTTTCTCATCATTTAATTTACAATTTTAATTTTAATTATACTTGTTGCTTTTATTTTTTTAGGAAAGTATTACTTGGTTGACAAAGGCTATCTAGAAAGATATGGATACTTGACTCCGTACCCTAAGACACGATACCATCAATTGGAGTTTCGTGGATCAAGACCAAGAGGATCATGAGAAGTATTTAATCGGGCACATTCATCCTTAAGAAGTTGTATTGAGAGAGCGTTTGGTGTTCTTAAGGCTCGCTGGAAGATATTACAAAAGATGCCAAGTTATTCATTGGTGGATCAAAACAGAATTATATGCTCATGTTTTGCATTACACAACTACATAAGAAAAAGCAAACTTGATCCGACTTTTGATTTCATTGATGAAGATCCTGAATTTTTTCCCCCTGACGTTATTCCAGATGTTCGAGCTAGTACTACACAAGGTGATGATGGAATGAGAAATCATCAGATGGCGATCATTCGTGATAGCATTGCTTTTAGTTTGCTGTCATAGGGATTTTATTCTTAATATTACAAATATTGCAATTCACCATATTACTTTTTTAAGAATTGTATTACATCTTAATATTGGTGTAGTTAATTGATGCATTTTATTGTCATACTTTTATCTAGTTAATTTTAAAATAATTTACTCACATATCTTTTATCATTATTTTTATTGGTGTAGTATTATTTACATATAAATTAGTACGTCATAACTTCATATCAAACAAAACAAAAAAAAACATGCAAAAATTTTAAAATGTCCTTTTTTGTCTTTTTACATAGGCTTAAATACATTTTTAGTCCCTGCAAATATGACACACTTTGTTTTAGGTACTTGCAAAATATTTTTTTTTGTTTTTCATCCCTGTAATATGCTCTATTTTGTTTTTAGTCCTTCTCTAATTCCAAAACCACTCTACATAGAAAAAAATATTGTCAGTTGCATTAACCTATTAGAAATATCTGAATGTGTCCTTTTATAATTTTTTTGAGGCTATTATGAGAGTTAAAATAATGTAAAATTAAGTATTCACACTTTAAAAAAATATATTAAAAGCCTTCCAAAAAATAAAATTATATATTTTGTGAATAACATGACAAAGAATTATATGAAACCTAATGATTGAGATTATTTTGAGGTCAAACGGAGGTTGTTATCATCGGTGATGGACTAAAACGAAATCTAACATAAATTGCAGGGACGAAAAACAAAAAAATAATTTTGCAGGGATGTAAAACAAAATGTACTATATTCGCAGGGACTAAAATCATATTTAAACCTTTTACATATTATCCGCTACAAACAAACCGCTAAGTTACCAAACATCTTTCTGCAACCCGCCAAGCTAATCCGCTGGTCAAACCTGCTGATCCAATCTGCCATTTACTACCCGCTAACTAAATCCGCTAACCGCTAACCGCTAACCGCTGAGTGCCAAACGGGGCCTTTATCACAATGTCAAAGTAGGCGGTGTATTCAATTAAAAATCGTACTCTTTAATTAAGAGCTTAAAAGTTGTGCTTTTTACCAGACTTTAAATAGCCCACTATTATTGACCTAGGGTGTTGAAATGAAACTTCTAACGACTTCAAATATTTGAAGTATAGAAGGTGTGTCTATCAATGTTCATGACTATTTTTGTTTTGTATATTTATGTGTAACTCAGTAATTGGATGCTGAAAAACTAAATTACTTTCTTTCTAAATTCCAATTAACGAGTTCAACATATAAATAGTACACAAAAATATACAAAAAAGCCATGAACATTAATAGACACATAAATTGGATTGGTTTCAATTTGAAATCAGACTTAAACATATCATTTCAGAATCATAGGCTCTTAAAATGCACATGTATCACACATTTATTAGCCTATTAAAGAAGTCATTCTAGACTTAAATAGTTCAAATTAGATCCGACAAGATTTTAAAATTTCATTTTAGTTAAAAACATTCTCACATGTATTAGTAACAAGATAATCTCCAATTTCTTGCTTGAATAAGGTGAATAGACAGTCACACATTGACATACATGATTACATGTCCACCCTACCAATCACATTCATGGGCTTAGAAAAAAACAGTCGTGCTAATGCAATCCATTGTTTTCAAAAAAGAAAAGAAAAAAAAGGCGAGAAATCATATATTCATCTGATCATCTCCAAAGCAATGACAATTACAAATTCACAATCCTCTGTGTGTGCCCGCATCCTGAATTCCGGATACCGCATGAATGTGTTAAGTTGTGCATTTAACTATTTATTAGACACAACTTTCATTTCTTTAAAAATTTTTATTTGAAAGACTTATTTAACACTCCAAACCAAAAACGTAAAGATACAAAACATGTAATTTTTTTTTATTCAAAATCCCTACAAATTCCCCATTCGTTCCAAATTCATACAAAAGAAACAAATCCAAAATTCAATTTGCTCGGGTTAAATCTGTGCTTTTTTACTATTAATCCAAGATTTTCCTTGTTTCGAACAAAGAGCAATAATTTAAAGATTACAATAGTGATTATTTGAGAAGATTATTTATAAAGAAAATTGATGATTTGAATTTCGAGCTATTTTAGATTTTAGTTATAATACATTTAATGTATGTCACTGAAAAACTAATAATGTAAGTCTTTATCGATCAAGATTCAAGAATTTTAAACTTTGACATTAATTAAATTTATTAGGTAAATATGATGTGAAAATAATGAGTAAGAGAAAAATAGTTTAACACTGAGATTCTCTAATAACTAATGTTCCATAAGGTTTTTCAATTTTTAAAGAAACCTCAGAGAATATGGCTTAGAGTTCAATAATGTAATTGCTCAATCTTCCTGGTGACACGAATCCAAATAAGGATATCTGAGGGATTCCGAGCTTTTTTTTTCATTACCAGAGAGGCAAACAACGTTACAGCAACGGTCTATGTGATGATCATGAGTTCATGACTTCCCCTACTAATACTAAGCTCACAAATATTCACTTCAAATCCTTTGAGAGATTTAAATTTAAATAGGTCAAACAATGCATTAGATCATCAAACAATGCTGATATCCGACATGTCATTTACGGAGTATTTATCAAGCGCACAAGAGATCTCTCTTAACTAATTGATTGTGCGAATCCTTAAATTTCAATTACAATTTCTACGAGAACTCTCGTCGGTTCATCAAAAACCGTCACTAGCTTCCTCTACAAGGTGAGACACAACATTGATTGCGCGACCACTCGAACTAGGCTAGAGGATCATCATTTCAGAAAGGGAAAAACTGTCAAATAGGTCCTCGAACTTTCGTAAAAAGGTCAATTAAGTCCTTCTATAGGAGGTTCTGTCTGGCCGTCGCGATTTGGGGCAGTTCCCGGTGGAATTTTTTGATGAATTTTTTTGAGCATCTTATTCACCAAGTCTAGTTTACTCATACCAAATTTCAGCTAAAAATTCAATCGGGAACACATTCAAATTAATTCTTAAAGATAACTGCGCATTTTTGCGTTCTCGAATTAATTTGAATGCGCTCCCGATTCAATTTTTAGCTGAAATTTGGTATGAGTAAATTAGACTTGATAAATAAGATGCACAAAAAATTTCATCAAAAAATTATACCGGGAACCGCCCCAAATCGCGACGACCGGACAGAGTCTCCTATAGAAGGACTTAATTGACTTTGTTATGAAAGTTCGAGGACCTATTTGACAGTTTTTCCTTTCAGAAAATACTCTCAAATTCACCACTTTGATTTCTCTAATACCTCCCACATGGGGAGGATCTTTTAAAGCGTTGGAGATTGTCTACAATACTCATTTGTCTTATGCCACCAATTTCTATTTGTACTTGAGTAATAAAAGGCTTTTATTGTTTCATCCATCTTTGAAAGTCTATAAGCATTTATAAAATGGAGAAAATTCACTCATTACTGTCTATGACCTTTAGGTAAGTTGGAGACATTAGATAAATGTTGATACAGTAATCTGACTTTCTAATAGCATACTGCCTCGGTGCCTCCTTGGTTCCTAAATAACTGTTCGGTCTGTTGGGTTCACTTTAAAATGTGTTAATTTATAGGATCCAAAGAGGAAGTGAGACAATTACTTTAAAATGGTCCCAAAGGGAAATTGATATACTAGTACTTCCTCCATTTTTAAATAAGTACTCCAACAGTCAACATGTTAAACTTTGCAATATTCCAATGTTCTAGTACTTTGACTAAATGTTATTTATTAAAATATTAGAAATGTAATTTTTTATAAATATTCTTGAACTCCTCTCATATATGCATAATCAATGGGGAAAATGGAAACATTACAACTAAAATTTTTTTAGGCAATATGTCACAGCCTAGCTACATCAATAAGCAAATTCACTCTGTTAATACGGATATAGCGTATTCATTCTATCAATCCATTTTTCCTTTAGTCTTACATATGGTAATTGGTAAACTCTTATTTTTGTTGTTATAAATAAGTTTTTTTTTTTATTTTAAAAACCATACATTTCTGTGTGAAAAAATTAAGTTGGATTTTTATGCATAGATATTTCAGACGAAAAAATTAAAATATATTTATATTTTTGGAAAATAATTTTAAATAGTACGGAGTACTATGTATTAACAATCCCACATAAGATAATAATAATACTTCGTACATATTTTGAAAATAAATTTTAATTATATTAACAAAAATAATATGAAGGCATGCTTTGGCTATAAATCGAGTCATTTAACATGTCAAAAACTGATAGCAAATAATCAAATTAAGATTATTTCCGTCATTTTCATTGGAGCCAAAGAGTTGCTATTTTTTGGATTGAGAAT